GTATCCCAAACCTGTGAATGGAGGTGATGGTAGTTAAATGACATTCAGCTCTCCCCATCCTGTATTCTATATTTTAACATCAAAAACATAGTTAATATCTGAAAGGGGGTAATGTACTCAAAAAGTTCATGCGCACCAAGATTTGGGCCAGTAATTAGTTTGTTTTCCTCTAAACCTAGACTGCTTTTTTAAACTAGTGACAGTAGTAAGAATATACAAAATTATTTGCTTATGTTTATCAGGTTAAAAAAACATTGTAGATACTTTAAGTTTTAACCATTTTATTCACAATAACTAGGGCATTCTTGAAATACAATTGACATATTAGACTTCTGATACCAAATTAGCTTGTTTCAGGCATACTCTCATGACAATGTTAGTATTGTTTGGAGTTGATTCCTTTTAATGTTAAACTTTGATGTTATCACTCTTGAGATTAAGGTTGATATATAATTTGGGTTTGTGTTACAATTTGACTATTCCATTGGATTTTGAAAAGAAAAACTTTAAATGAAAAAAAATCCATTGTGTCTAAATTGCTGCAATTTCTATTGGAGTTCCTTAAGAAGGAAATATATATTTCTAACCTGGGATCACTCTGCTTATTCCTCTTAAAAGAGAGAGAACTGAACATACTACCCTTTTTATTATCAGCCAATACAACAACAACAACAACAACAAGATTCCATTTATAGAGCGCCTTTCACGTCAGGAGGACGTCCCAAGGCGCTGCACAGTTGGGTCATGACCCGAGCAGGGGGGAAATGGTCAGGGTGAGGGGAGGGAAGGGAGGGAGAGAGGAGGGGGAAATGGTCAGGGTGAGGGGAGGGAAGGGAGGGAGCGAGGAGGAGGAAGAGAGTCGAGAGGGGAGCTGAAGGCACGGTCAAAGAGAAAGGTTTTGAGACCGGCCTTGAAGGAGGAAAGGGAGGAAGCAAGGCGAAGGCACTGGGGGATGGAGTTCCAGAGCCTGGGGGCTGAGAGGCTGAAGGCCCGACCACCGATAGTAGGGCGGTTGGGGCGGGGGACGTGGAGCAGACCGGAGCCAGAGGAACGGAGGGTACGGGCAGGTAGGTAGGGGAAGTATACATTGAACGTATAGAAAGTTAAGATTGCCCACTTCTGTAATAGGAAAAATATTATCCTCAAATTCAAAGGTGTATCTACCCCCACCCTAGTTCAAAATTTCCCACTTTTTTCATTTGGCTGTGAAAAAGATCCATTGCCTATCGCAGCTTTGCATTTTTACTTAATTTCAACTTGACAGATGTAAAATCATAGAGTTTACTCATCTAGAGTCTAATGTGTGCTAAATACGCTCATTACACATGTCAAACAATATATATTGTATTTATTACCAATATTTCTCTTCCAATTTTATCCCCTTACTTTCTTTGCTGAAGGTGCCTCACTTTTTTTTCTCTCTCTTCTACTGGGCTATGGTTCTACAAGTGCCAATCACCTTTTGTTACCCTATCCAAGTGGTTATTATTCCTGAACCAGACCTGCACATTTGGTCTCGGTCCATCTGTAAACAATAACAGCACTTTGGAAATCACACTTATCTGCTTAAATTGCACAAATTACTACTGTTTAGTTATTACAACAAACTTACTGGACAAAAATGCTTTAAAATATGAACTGAGTTGGAAAAACAAACCTAGCTTTACCCTTTTACTCCATACTGAACTCAGGGCATCCCTCAAGATTGAATCATAAGGCTGCAGTGTATAATTCACCCTACATTTTCAATCTTCTTCAGGCCTACATTCTAACCACCTCCTCCACTCTTCCAACTTTGGTTTCTTCATCACTCCACACTCCATTCTCTTCACAAACAGTGGCTGACCTTTCAGCCACAATGCCTACCTGTCTCTCTGCTTCAAATACCTCCTAAAACATATCTATTATTTTGGTGTCTTTCACTGTTTTTGCCTAGCACTTCGAGGCATTCCTTAATATGAAAACGCTATATAACGGCAAGTTGTTGCAAAATACAGTTCTCAATATATAATGACAGTGTCAGCTGTTAGAGAAGCAACAGCTGCTCAACACCACAGGTGAATGAGTTATGTTCCACCATGGATCTCTGAAGGATCCCCAGGATTGTTGAAAAGCACGTGGAGTGAGATTGATATACCTTGTCTTGAAGGTTAATTCTGCATTTGGAATTGTGCCCTGGGCAATGGTGCCATCTGGCTTCTTTAGCAGACATGGGGCTAACTTTTGCTGCCTACCTTTCTACCCTTTTCCTGGCCTTTTATATGCCCTATGGATCTGAACAGAATCTTTTCATGTTAGGTTTAGGAAACAGCTCAGAGCGATGAGGCGGAAAAAGTTCCACTTCTCTGATAACTGTTAAGGAACTTAAGTGAAATTGATTTCAACAATATCATTTCCTGGTTTTACAGCAAAAAAAAATGTCCTTTGTTTTGTGTTGTTTTAGGAACATTACTTGGTGAGACCAGGATGGCATTAGAAATGTTAGAAGTAGATTGGTCATTGATTACAACAACCACAAAAATAACAAATTACATTTGTAAAGCACACGTTGGGAGGACATCCCAAGGTATTGGACAGCCAGGGATTTGGACCTGAGGTGGGGTTTGGATTCAGGAGGGGTGGAGGGTGGGGAGTATAGGACTAGGAGGGTAGGGCTAGAAGGCACAGTTGAAGAGGAAGGTCTTAAAGGAGGCAAGTGAGGGAGGGAAGCAAAGGGCTGTGGGATGGAGTTCCAAAAAATGGGAGCAGAGAGACTGCAGGTCCAACCGGCAATTGTGGGTTGGGCCGGGCAGGGGACATGGTTGAAATGGAGTTAGCCGGTCACAGAGGTAGGGGGACCAATGCCATGGAAGGCTTTGAAAATGAGGATGAGGACTTGAACTCTATCCTCTAGGGTATGGGGAGCCAGTTGAGCCAGGCGAGGATGGGGGTGATAGGATCACGGGGCCTGGTGCGTGCCTGATTAGCTTCTGAGGTTGAAGTAGACGGTAAGAGCATAGAGAGTTTACTTAGCATCTGAACCAGGCAACAAATGGCCAGGAAATGCTTGGAACCTCCATGGTCCTCCAGCTGTGCACAAATTAGGGTCATCATACTTCTGTTCAAAATGTGTCTGCCTTCAGTCTGCCAGGAAGGAACCTTTTTTCCAATGTTGCTTTTCCTTTGCCAGAGTAAATTTGTTTCCTTGATGTTTTCTTCAATTATCTAAAACCTAACTCCACTTTCGGGCTACTGATATTATCCTTAAAGAACTGCTGTACAAGTAATCCAATTGTCAGCCCAAGTGCTCTGAGCTTTTATCTAGTGGAGTGAAGAGCAGTTAATGATTTGCTCTTGTATCATTGACCTGGTCAGTCAGAATCCCTTAAATCAATAATCTAGTAGATTTATGCGAGCCAATTCGAGACCAGGCTCCTGTGAAAATGTGCAACCTCTGAGCCAGTAAGAGGAGAGAATTCTAGGAAGTCACAGCAACTTTGGACTATGTGAGTGCAATGGACATGAGGAGCAGTATCTGCCATATCATTCAAGTCCTTTGTCAAGAAACTGTTTACTTTAAATCAGAGCCGACAATGTCAGGAATGATATAATGAGGAAGATGGTAAAAAAAAAAGTTTCTTCAATTTAGGTTTTTGTTTGTGACCACAACACACGAATTGGGTCGAGAGCAGTGAAATGAAACAGATCAGGCTATAGAGCCATCTTTCCAGCTGGGTCACATGTAGGTGACTCTGCTATACCCATCTAAAATTGACAGATGTGGGAATATTAAGAACTTTCTTGTTACAAAGTTTTTTTTCATTTCTGCCAGAGTGGCTTGTAAAACGCCATGAATGTGAAATAGCTGGACTGTATCCATGCAACTTTTGGACTAATAGCCCCCGGCCTCTGCAGCTCCATATACCATAACTGACAAACTCAGTTTCATACTGACTTCTTGTAAACTTTTAGGCAATTGTTATCCAATCTAATTTGAGAAACCTAGAAAGGCACTGAGTATTTCAGCATTCATAGTATTCTCTCAATTGAAATAAAAAGTGCTCAAATGCACAACAGTTGGATGAAAGTTCAAATCTATCTTCCTGTGCTGGTTGGCCTTCTTTCTGTTCCTTTTCATTATATTTTGTTTATTGTAAGATTCTAGCAATTGTTTCTTTTTTCTTTCATCTCTTTTCTTAGTACAGTTTAGTTCCAGTGGCGCTGAGAATCTTGGTTATTGATCACGCGTGCAACTCCGAGAGTAGGTGACAGTGAGATAAATGAGACAGTGAGATACCAGTGACTGGAGATAGTGATCGTGAAAGAGAAGTTTGGTAGTGAATTGGGGCTAAAATTGAGGAGGGAAATGGGTATCTAATAAGGTCGTGACTAGACTATAAGAGTAATAGATATCAATGTCACTTTTATAGGGTCTGCCTGATTATAGTTAGGATCATAGAAATTGCAGCGCAGAAAGATCCTATTGCTGATTGTGATTCCACCACTAGATCTATTTGCTCCACTTTGCTGTAAATTACAGAGCATCAGTTGAATTACTGATGCAGTTTGGAAGTAGTTGCATTTGTGTGGTCAGGCCATTGACAATGTGTGGTGACCCGCAAATGATGCTCAGGTGGAATACAGGATAATGTCAGGAATTATATCAATGGTTCTTGAGAAGGAATGGACAGGTGATGTGTAGTAAATCATTTAAGTACCTTTTGCTGATTTAATTGCAATCAGTTGTTACAGTAACTTGTCAGTATTAGTTTATGAATATGGTTCGGTCACTTACTTTCTAGAATTGTTCTTTTATATTTTTCTCAAAATTATGAATTGGTCAGGAATTACTGCTCTCAGAGTCAGGGAAATCTAAATGTGTACAATCACCACAAGTGACACATAATGAAGCTGGCATTGTACTATACTGTGGGTAAAAGAAAGGCTTGAATTTTTTTAAAGTGATTGTTTTTTTCAAAGCTCTTAATACATTAATGTATGTTTTGTGTTATTTCCAACAGGCACCAGTATTTTCACAGTGTATGAAGCTGCTTCACAAGAAGGCTGGGTGTTCCTCATGTACCGAGCAATTGACAGTTTCCCCCGTTGGCGCTCCTACTTCTATTTTATAACTTTAATTTTCTTCCTTGCCTGGCTTGTTAAGGTATTTTACATTCTATTCATTCAGATATTTTTATTTACTGTATCTTTTTATTTTGGATAAAAGGCTTACTCCTCAGTCATTCACATCATCACAGTTTGTGGGACATCATCACGTATGCCTGAAATATACACTCATTTCATTTCATAATAAATCCTGTGAATGTAATAATAATCCTTCCGTTTGATATAGCACCTTTCATGTCAAGAGGATGTCTCAAAGTGCTTCACAAAATTTTACAGGAGTGAAGCACTTTGAAATGTCCTCACGGCATGAAAAGCACAGGACCAAATGCAAGGATTTTTTTTATTATTCTGAGGAGGAATGGGGAGCAGAAGTACTTTCAATTAAAGATTCAATCGAAGTACCCAGAAATTGGGGAGGGGTGAATTGTTGAGAGTGTGCCCTTGTTGAGAAGAAATATTTCTTAGTTAATATTAAATTAGGCTCATATAAAGAAGGGGAATGCAGACCAGGATAGTGGAATCGTGAATAGTGGAAATATGGAGATTGATAATATTCTGAACTTTTCTTCTATTACCTTTGGGAATGAAGATGTATTTTTGCGGAACTTTTGCTCAGGTCATTGAAGAAATAAGGCAGGGTCTATGATAAGCTAATTGGATGTACATGAAATGTAGAAGGACTTAATGGCTGAATGGTCCTATTTGTATACATTCATTTGTCCTAGGTGGAGCTACTATATCAAATCTCCCAGCTGGAAAAGACGCTGAGGAGACTTATTAGCAGGTTCATCTTTAGTCTTTAGTTTACAGATATTGGATTGAGCACAGATTGGGATTCCTGCCATTCCTGACACTATAACACAAATCAACATTAGGACTGGAATTGAAATCCAGCTATTTGAACCCCAGGGTTTCTTGATGAAGAGCTTGAATTCCCTAAACTTGTTCTCATTCTTAAAGGATTGTCCTAATGAAAAGATATGTAGCAGGCCTGTTTCTTGTAGCAGAAAGGCGATGAGACAAAAAAAAACTGCATGTTATTCTTACCATGATTTATAGTGCGATTTGCATGTGGTCACCGACATATAAAATATGTCAAAAAAATATAAAATGCCATGTGCCAGCTGGCCAGCCTGTGGGAAGCTAAATTTTTCTGGAATATCGGGTCACCGCCTGTGTGTTGGCAGGCTGTCTCTCTGTGTGCATGAATGCATGGCTAATACCACATTATAACAGGGTTCTATTGTGTTAGGCAACTCTGATGCCCAGTCACTGTGTTAAGCATTTTAAGATGTCCTCCCAAAGTGAAAATTGCTTATATGAATGTAAATTGTATTGATTTAAGCAATTTCACTTTTGTCAGAAGACTTATGTATGATCTGACTTTCCTTATTTCTAGAATGTATTCATTGCAGTTATCATCGAGACTTTTGCAGAAATACGAGTTCAGTTTCAACAGATGTGGGGGTCAAGAAGCAGCACTACCTCAACTGCCACCACACAGGTAAATGTATATTGATTTCTTAGTCAGTTCAGAGTTGGAAAAATAAAGTAAGGATTCAGAGTTGTGACGCATTTTTTGTTACTGTTATCCTACCTGCAAGTTTTTGCTCTTCTATCTAAACTATTCTTACATAGGAAAATGGATTAATGTAACTGGTATGTCATTGCCTAGCGTGTATTTTGGAGGTTGCTCCTGGTGGGAGAGGTCAGAGGCTAAAGGAGGCCAACCCAAAGCAGATCTGGTTTGAGACATTAGTGATCAGACTGACTAAGGAGATCCCAATTGTATTGGCATAGCTAGGTGACCGGTAACAGAGTTCTGAAAAGGGAGCGGGGGCTCACAGGGAGCAACTAGGAAGGTGACGTCTGGCCACCATGCAAATTAGTGGCCCAGAAGAATACCCTCCCACAATGGTTTGCTTCAGCTCATGGGAAAGCACTAATGCAATTATCTGTCAAAACTTGAATTTATTTCAATGCTAATCTATTAACTGTGTAACCAATCAGACTAGCTTATATAGATTCTCAATCTCGAACTTCAAAGCACCTTAAAATTACATTTAATATTAAAGTACAGGACTGAAATATTATTGTGGTCCTTATCCCAAAGTTAAAGAAAAAGAAACATTCACTATCTATTTCATATATCTGAATGATTTATTTGCCAGATAGTTATCCAATTCCCTCTTGAATTTGCTGCCACAATCTACCACTGGCATCCTCGCGAGGTAGTTTATTTCCATATACTCTCTATTCTGTGTATAATTAAAAGTACAAGTTCACTTTAAACTTTGAGTTGCTCACATCTCAAAGGGTGATACAGAAAATATCTCAAATGAATTATGCAATCAGCTGTAAAAAGCCATTCAAACAAATTTATTGGCAGTAGTTAACACCTGCTTGATTGTTGAAAATATTAGGATCTACCGTGCAGCAATTTCTAATAAGATTCCTTAATTAAAAAAAAGGATGAACGTCACATTGACTTGGAGGAATTCTATTCCAATAAGGTCTACTTTGGCGTTCCTGGAAGGCATCTCAGTTGGATTCCCTTTTGGGGAATTACTCTCTACCAATGCTGTTAAACCAACCACAAAAATTATCTTGTGCCAACTTTTCCTTCAGCTTTCCATTTATTGCTATGGGGAGATCTATGGCTTCCACATGATCGCCACACTGTTGCAACTGAGATCACGACTGCTCAAACTAAAATCTGTGATCCTTTTCTCCAGGGGAACACTCATTGGTGATTCAGTACCCTGAAGTAGCGCATTAATTTTTTTAAAAAAGTCATTTTACAGCAATAATTAGCTTGAAGCTATCTAGATATTGGGCTTTTATCACTCCGGTGATTTGTTTCAGCACTCTGCAAAATCCCTCATACGTGCACATTACCTTTCATTATTGTCATCCTGTGTTTCTGCTTCATTATAATGGATTTTCAGTCCATTGACAATTTTATATTCAGGGTACATTTTTTTCTTCAAGATGGAAAAATGTGTGCATCAGAAGTAACTTAAATAGCATTCAATTTAGCTTGCTGGTGTTTTGGTGATATGCAAAATTGACTTGATAATAACTATAATTTTTAATATACATAAAGAATTTCATTATTGTGCAAAATTAGTAGTTATAGAAAAATTACCTCAGTTTTTATGGATCCGATTTTTGAAAAATGGCTATGATGTTGTGACCTTGGAAAATGTATTCCTAATTATTTTAATTTAAGCTGCTGCACTAACGGTCACACTATAGGTGGTTGAAGCTTTCAATAAAAAGGGATTACTTTGTGAAGTAAAGCATCTGCTACTCGTTATTAAAACATACATCACAAAAGAGCTTAAACTTCACTCTTTGATCTCCCTTAAAAATAAATGCAGGTAAGCTGAAATCCAAAGGGAATTGTTTCCACATTGGCGGCAATTTTAAACCTTTTTGGTGTAGACTGCTACAAGGTTTTGGAATTAAATGCATAAAAATTAGGATGTAAGGTTTTCCATTTAATTATTATTAAATGAAAAGCATTTGGGGTGAATCTATAAAGGTAATTTAGGCTAGCTACCCTTATTTTTTAACTTAATGCTTTCAACTAATGTAATGGGCCTTACATGTTTAAATTAAAATATGCTTTAAATGTAGCTTTAGTCCTAATGTGTGTTCACGATTCAGAGTTAGTAGCTGACTTTTATTTCAATTAGTGCTCTGAGATGCTAGCCTACATGAGTGATGCTATATTAATGCAAGTTGTTTTGGGCCATTTCCCATGAGAGAAAAAGCCCAAAGGTCCAATAAAAGGGTGCAAAATAATGCACTGGCCAGCCTTTGAGATCTTTTTAGTTAATTTGGTAGCGAATTGCACATTTTTGGTTGCAAATCAAAAGTTGTTGTAACTACAGTGATTTCCAGAGTTCCAAATTTTTAACATCAGTGTTGATGTATAAGCAAACTAAAAAATTATAGAGGAGCTCCGATGAAAAGGGCTACATTTATTTAGAAGTGATTGATGGTTACTCTTAAAAGCTTTTACTGAACAGTACTGTAAAATCAGTCCTACCACCACCCGCAGATCTAATCCATTATTACTGTTAATAAAATTCTCTAAAATCTCACAAGGATTATTATTTTTGCACCATTGGTAATTGATGTGCTGATTTAAAACATCTGATAAATGGCAATCTAGGCATTAAGGCTACTTTGGACAGTTCTGATCTTAGGTCAAATTTTCTGATATCAGTTTACAGCAGCAGAGTATTTTGCACCACTGCATTGGATACACCAATTGAACCCAGTACTGGGAGGACCCATACACCAACACTGCTGTCACTCAAGCAAACTATAGGTAGAGGTATAATAATAATAATCCTTGCATTTGATATAGCGCCTTATCACATCTTTGAAACGTCTCAATGTGTTTCACAGAATATACTGTAAAATGAATTGACTTTATATTTTTTGGGCAAAACACGGCAGTCAATTGCGCACAACAATGTCCCACAAAGAGTCGTGGATTGAGTAACCTAAATCATTTTTTTATTTTGAAGGATTTATTACCCCCAGAAAAGCGATCCGCTAATTGACTAACAACCAGGTTCCTACTTACTGCTGGGTAAACAGAGGTGTGTGGGGTAAGGAAATTTGCCAAATGTTTCGCCCTCCCAGGAATCAAACCGAGGACCTCTTGCTTGAGAGGCGAGTGCTCTAACCATTAAGGACTCCACATCCTGTAGCTTAGTGACATAGGTATTTGATACAGGTATTTGAACAAACTGCAAGGCATCATCTTCAAAGGGAAAATGCAGAAGCAGAGCAGGAGGAAAAATGTTGTGTCCCAAAAGAGAGATTATGTAGGCATTACTAGACTGTCATGACTAAACTGGCAAAACACCCAAGAACACAAAAATAATGTCTGAAAGGATGCTTGATGACCAATCCTTCTTGGAACCTAACATGGCTTAGTTTACTTTATTTTTTTCTAATGTGATAAGGGCAGCAATAGATATCAATTCAGTGGATTTCTTTCTATTTTATGATCCACACATTTACATTGGTGCATCCAATAACATAGTGAGGACATGTTTATTTTGTACTTCTGTGATCACATGCTTGAGTCTTAACAGATGTTTGCCCTGCAGTGTTCTAACAGTATGGGTGATATGTTCTGTAAGTATTCATCAAGGAACTTGCAGGGGTTTCCTTTACCCCAGGGAAATTTTGATGTAAATTCTGCACACCTGTACGGTTCCATCTGGATGCACAGCTACAATAAGCTCATTTCTCAAGCAGTGTTGGCATGAGTGCTCTATATAGGTGTTGATGTTGGGTCAGCAATCTTGTGCAAGTGCTATTTTTCACAAATTGAATGTGGAATATACCAACAAACTAAGAATTAATGTTAGATGATGTTACACTGAATTAAAGTGTTATTTTAAGAACATGTTGAAACATTATATTGTGTTCTATTTCATTTGGAGGATTAGGTAATTAGTAAAAAATAGTATTTTTAATTCTGATATTAAATCTTTGTTGTTTCCCTATTGTATCCAAATTAGTACCAAATTGTTTGTTATGGCTTGTTACATACTTCTTACTATATAATCAGATCCTGATGTATGCAAATCTGTTAAGTTTAACTTTTTTATCTTTCATTACCAATGAATCAAACAGTTTAATGTAACCCTTTGTCATTTTCTTGGAATGGAACATTAATTATTGTCTTGTTTTGTTATTCTTTAAAAAATTAAGTATTCAACATGTTAAGCATTTTTTAAGCACATCCCCATTAAGCGTCTTGGCTGAGCTGAAATTTGACCTCTGCACTTTAACTTGCTATGTACATTCCTTTTCACGCAAGTAAGTTCCCAAAGAATGCTGTGAAGATATTAATAATGCCAATGATGAGGTATAATAATGCTTGCAATCAGAAGTACCTATCTGTAGGTAATTTTTTTTAGCAAAATTCTCTGTCATGAGAGACAGTCAGCTGCACCTGACATTTAATAGGTCATCTGCAAGTGTTTCAGAGTACTTTGGGAATTTGAAAAACAGGTATAAGACCATCTTTATTAGAACCAGCCTTTCAACTGATCCTCAACTGGAATTGGCAATTATTCAGGAAACTAATTGATGAGTGGAGTTCATGCATCTCCCTTTGGGAGAAGTGTATTCTGGAAGGTTAATAATAATAATCCTTGCATTTGATATTGCGCCTTATCACGTCTTCGAGGCATTTACAAAGAGCTTCACAGAATATATTGTAAAGTGAATTGAATGTATATTTTGTAGGTTAAAGAATGAGATCAAATGGGTCAAAGGGTCTTTTTCATCCATACCTCATTTGTGATTTTTGCCATCATTGTGCAAATTTTACTTTTCTTCACCAAGTTCAATTCCAGGCAGGGCGAAACCTTGGGCAAGTTTCCTTACTCCACACGCCTAATAATAATCCCTCCAAAACCAAAAACAATAATAAATTGGTCATTTTCAATCTAAGACTGTTTGTGGGACATTGCTGTGCACAATTGGCTGCCGTGTTCGACCACAAATGTACAGTCAATTCACTTTACAGTGTGTTCTGTGAAGTGCTTTGGGACGTCCTCCCGACGTGAAAAGCGCTATATCAAATGCAAGGATTATTATTAAAAGATGGACTGTATCTATTGTGACATTTTGCTTTTCACACTTATATGCCTGTTAGGACACAATATAATTTTGTTCTCTAATAATTGTAGCCACTCATTATTTCACCCATCCTGGGAAGTTCACAGCAACGTTGAAAATATCTTTGAATTTCTGCACTATTTCTGGTTAGCTAGTGTTGGTATTTTACTAACATGTGTTACATTTTCTCTATAGATGTTCCATGAGGATGCCAGTGGTGGATGGCAGTTAGTTGCTGTAGATGTGAACAAGCCTCAAGGCAGAGCACCTACATGTTTGCAGGTATGTTAGTTACGTCTATTTCATAAACTTGGTTATACATTATTTCTTCCCAAATTTAGATACATAGTAAAATCTATAAGTAATATCATGTACAGTAAGGCTAATGAATATTGTTTGCTTCATTATTTTAGGATAATGAGTTAAGGAAGCTGCAGTTCTAAGAACCCTATATTGATATTAATAACATGTTTTAAATTAGTCTAATGGGAATTGGGGAGACCTGTGTTGAATATTTCTCTTGCTGTCAGCACTGATCACCACCAACAACACCTTGCATTGATAGCATATCAGAGCATGGTCTCTCCACAATAATAATGCATTTGATATAGTGCTTTTCACATCTTCTTGACGTCTCAAAGTGTCTCAAAGCGTCCTCCCGACGTGAAAGGCGCTCTATAAATGAAATCTTGTTCTTGTTGTTGTGTTCACAGAATAGACTGTAAAGTGAATTGACCGTATATTCTGTGGGTGAAACGCAGCAGCCAATTGCGCACATCAGTGGCCCACAAACAGTCGTGGATTGAAAATGACCAATTTATTATGGTTTTGTTTTGGAGGGATTATTATTAGGCGTGTGGAGTAAGGAAACTTGCCCAAGGTTTCTCCCTGCCTGGAATTGAACCCAGGTGTCTCACTTTCAAGGCGAGTGCTCCAACCACTGAGCTACAGGACTCCATATAATACAATAAGCGACCAGGAGGCACACATCTTGCAGGGAGAGTCATACAGTATTTATTTTCTCTTCTCATTTGGAAATGAAACATCTCATTGTAGCGAGGTGTTTCGTGGCATGAAACATCATTCCAGTTCAGAAATGGTGTACTCGATGCTTCTCAAGGTCATAAATAACAGTGTTGGGAATGCATTGTCATTAAACCTTTTACACATAGACTGACTAATTCTAAAAATTGATTCAATGAATGTTATGTAGCTTAACATACAGTTTGGGCTCATTTGCAAAACAAATATTAGATTCAGGAGTGCATTTGATTGTATTTGCCTAATTTTTTTTAAACTTTCGTATTTTTCTACAGTTAATGCATAACCCATCCTCATTATTACAATAATTATTATTATTATCCTCATTATTAGGACACGTTTCAGTTGACATGAAAGATAAAATCTCTGTCACAGCTATTATGTGATTTATTTTCGTAATGCACTTATTCATTTATGCAGTTACTTTTTTTTAAATTAAATGGACTTCGTAACTTTGGATAGTAGATTCTCAAAAGCTAGTGATAAAAAGCAATTTACCCCCCAAAATAGCATTGTCTGTATGTCTAGAATCTGTAAAGAGGAACTGCACCTGTAATTACTCACTTCATTAGCTCTGTATTTGGAAATAAGCAAGAGTTAATTATATTAGTAAGTAATTTTTTTGTAGCTTATTCAAAAATTCAATTATAATTTATTTGGATTTTTAGGTTTATATTTTGGTTTTTTTTGTGGTTTGTTTTCATCAGGCAGTCTTCAGAATAGGTCAACACAGTGCATTTGAATGCAGAAAAAGGCAACTTCTTTTCCAAAACATTGTTTTAATTTCAATTTATAAGAGCACTACCTACTGGAGCAATTTGATTTTTTCATTTCAAAAGACCTTGTTTTTCTGAGTGATGCTGGGTTACATTCAGCATATTAGGATTAATGTAATGCACTAAACAATAACATAACAAAGGTGGTCCCAGTTGAATGCGAGTTTGCTTGGAGGGTAAGCCTATGTGGACCCGAACTCTTATCATTTTTGGGTGCTGATGAGCTGGCTTCACATGCTATTAAATGTTCAACTCCCACAAGACACCACGTCCTGCGCTGATGTGTGCTATGCACTGGAAGTACAGCTGAGTTTGCAACGGAAGTGACGGCATCAGCACTTCTGCCATATAGCACTCAGTTTCATTACATAGGAAGTGATTTCAGCGATAGTTTGATGACCTGCAAGTCAGACTTTACTTATTTGCGACTTCTGACCTATTGGATCCAGCGGACTGTGTCATTATGAGGTTCTCCTGTTTTCTGCTGTGCGCAATTGGCTGCCGCGTTTCGCCCACAAAATACGCAGCCAATCCATTTTACAGTATATTCCGTGAAGCACTTTGAGATGTATCAAAGCCATGATAAAGCACTATATCTAATGCAAGGATTATTATTATTTAGATTGGAGGCAGTTTAGGTATTCCAAACCTGGATTTGGAGTTGAATTATATGTTTAATGCAGGCATTTACTAACTGGTGACAGCTTTGTAGGGGGAAACAGCATGATGTTGCCAATTCATGTTGAATTATAAACAAGTTTACTGCTGTGGAACTATTATCTACTGGTTCATACTAGACTAGTTGATACTCCAGGTCTATTTCACATCAGACCTTTACTGTTAAGAGACTTTCATCCAATTAGTTTGTACTCGATTAAAACCTTAGTTTGCAGAGGTGGGTGAACAGTCTTCTGTTCATGTTTTCCTATGATAATATGACAATCACCTGGCACTCTTATTTTATTCAGTTGCAAAAATATAAATTCAGAGAATACTTTGAAAAAAAAGATTTTTTTCTCTATATCTGTTATGATAAACACAAAAGTGAGTATTTCACATCTGTCACTTTCCTGTGAGAAGCTTATTATATGGTCTTGGACTGCATGTGAGTGGAAATACACAGCTGCAGTGGACTCAGTTCATCTCTGTTTAAAATACATCTTGGCAGGGAAACAAGAGTCTATTGTGTTTGAAAATGTGTTTGTTCATTTGTTATGTTTGTGTCCATTTATGTGAAGGATATCAGTGCTGGAGGAATTTTCTAATTTTGGAACTTGTCAACATCAAGCAGTCTCCAGATAAACAGTATATGTTCCTCTTTGATTCTGCCTGAGTCATACGAGCTAATCACAATAGAGTATAGTTTTCATCTCCCACACCAGATGTCGCATTCATAAAAGAGGTTTGAATGAAGAAGGCCATTCAGCCCATTTTATTTTTCCAGAAAATAATAATAATAATCCTTGCATTTAATATAGTCTTATCAATTCTAATTCCATTCACTCATTGAAAGACTCTATTGTTCTCTTTCTCTGCTGAAGGCATTGACTCTTTCTGGGGTAAACTTCCACAGTCATTGGAAGCCCTCTAGGACCTCACTTTAGATAGTGAGTGTCCGGCATGCTAGTATTCCTGAGCCCTCTCTTATTCACACCCATGCTGCCCACTCACCTGCACATGCACTCTATTTGATCCATCGTTATTGTAGTGGGTAAAAGCACTGCCTTGTGTAATCTCAAATAGAAGGACATCAGTTCATTTCCTGGACTATGCTGAATTACCTGATCTTAGCTTGTTTTTACAATTAAGAAGATAAAAAGGAAACAGGATGCTTCTCCATTCCTCATTGCTACCAAGTGTGTGTGTGTGCGCGTGCATGTGCAGGTGAGTGGGCAGCATGGGTGTGAATAAGAGAGGGCTCAGGAATACTAGCATGCCGGACACTCACTATCTAAAGTGAGGTCCTAGAGGGCTTCCAATGACTGTGGAAGTTTACCCCAGAAAGAGTCAATGCCTTCAGCAGAGAAAGAGAACAATTTGGCAAAAATGTCACAATGTTTGAATAATGCCAACCGGAGCTCTGTTTTAAAGACCTTTTTTTAAAATGTCCTTTGGAGCCAGTTTCAGATCTTTTGTCTGAATTGCTTGTTTATATTGGACTGTAATACTGAATGAAATTCTGAGAGCTGCAGATGGAAGAAATGCTATGGACATTTCTCACTCATGCCACATTGAGCAGTTTCAGGTTCAAGATCTAACATATGAAAGCATTGGAGCGTGGAATTTTCCTTTGACAAAGTTGTTGTAAATTTTTAATTAGATATGGTTGACAGGAATGCAGAGACGGCTTAAACTTCTCTTCATCAGAAAGGTTAAAATTGGAATAAAATGTATATTACTATTATCTGAGAAAACATTTTCTAGACACTTGCCTTATTCTATTAAATTGGATGGCTTTGGAATGTGAAAAATAGCCTAAGGTTGCATTTGTACACAATATCATGAATTGTTTTAATTTATTCTTGTGAAGATGATGGAAATAAAGTAGACATGTCAGTTCACATTGTTTTTTTGCGAGTTAATTCAACTTAGCAAAATATCTTTCAAAAAATTAAAAATTCCTGAATTGCTTTCAATTTTGCATTTTCCCTAACATCTGTTCATTGTATTTTGGCAAGCAACAACTCTCATGTATCCTTAAGGCAGTATTCTCACCTGTTCTATCAAGGGTACACTAACAATTCACAAGCTAATTAATTTACACAACTCGATAAAGCATAGAATAAGATAATTTTGGACAAAGCCTCTTTTAAATGTATAAAAACGGCATTACAGGTTAGAGCATTGAAGTCTTTGTACATCGGTAGTAATCAGCCTAAATCCAAACTCTGAGATTTAATTAGTTTGAATGGAGCAAAAATATGAACAGTTGAAACCATTATTAGGGGTGATCAGTTTTGAAAATGCTAAAATCCAATGAATAACTCAGCATCTTTTGAGTATAACAGAGGTTAATAAACGATGTTCGATAGGAAGTGACTACTCTTTCTGTCATAACTCAATTAGATATTATAGTTTACACTGTATCAACTTAATAAATCTGAATCAGCTTTTTGATTGACTGAATCAATTAGTGATTTTACTGGGGATTAATTCGTGAAATGCATCTCTTGTTTTCCAAGTGATTTAGTCACAAAAATAGTGTGTCTCAGATATCACCACCACCAATAAAGCCATCTCGGACTATTACTTCATCTCCCTTAACTCCTCCATCCCACTCCCTCTTATCCAACCCACTTCTATCTCCTATCACCCCTGGGAAAAAAAAACATCCTCTCTGCAGCCCTAGATATCCTCTCTACTGCACTAGAGTCATCTGAACTCTCATCTCCATCATTTCCAAACAAAGCCCACCAACTGCTCCCTTGATCCCATCCCTACTTTCTCCTGACCTCTCAGCTCCAC